GTGTGTGTGTTTGTGTCTGTCCGAGGTGTGTGTCTGTCTGTGTGAGTGTGTGTGTGACTGTGTGTCTGTATGTCTGTGTGTCTGTGTGTGTATGTGAGTATGTGTATCTGTGTGTGTGTCGTGTGTCTGTGTGTGAATGTGTATGCATGAGTGTTTGAGTATGTGTGTGTCTGCATGAATGTGTATGTCTGTATGAGAGTGTGTGTGAGTGTGTGTGTGTGTGTGTGTGTCTGTTCTTGTGTGAACTTTTGCTCCCAGGAAATGGGAGGTGAAGACCTCATCAAATTAGGAGGGGCGTGTGGGCCGGACTTTGGCCCTTCGTGTTGGAGGTGGTGGAGAGGGATGGCCTGGCCTGGCACAGCTCTGCTTTGCCTGTGCTGCCAGCGTCTTGTGAGAGATGCCATGTGGAAGGGATTTGGGACAAGGCACAGCACACTCTTCTGAGTGTCTTGTCTGGGCTAAAATCCCGTAGAGTGTAGCTGTGGTTCTGAAGCAGATAGAGGCTGGCCCTGTTGGTTGTTCTGGGGTGAAGTTCATCCTGGAGAAGAGTCGGAGGCAGCCAGAAGGTGGGGCCAAAACTAGCCAGATGAAGGCCTTGGCTGGGAGTTGGGTTTATTCCCCTGGGCTGACAACAGTTGTGCATTTTCCTCTGGGTTGCAATTCCATTCTATTGCTTCCAAGTCTCTTCTCAGATGACCTGGCAGTGGAGAAATTGGAAGGCACAGTGTCCACGCACTAATGCTGAGGGTGAGATACAGATGCACGGAGCACATTTGGAAAAGCCCTGGCCATCTCTCTACCCCCTAACCCATGCTGTGCACATAGTAGGTGCTCAGAAAATGTGCGTTACTTGAATGGAAATGAGCAGCCTTTCCAGCCCAAACACTGAGGCCCCTGGCTCGCCCCCTCCTGCCATGCCCATCAATGCCAGGCCCACGTCAGGGTTTTTCATCTCCATCTTCCTCTGCGTTCCCGTTGTCCACATTAGGGGAAGGGTCCTGCTTGGACTGTTGCAGTAGCCTCAAGTCGCTTGGACTCTGCTCAGACTCTCCTCCCCCCATTGGCTCAGCAGATCCTTGACAGATTCTCTGCAGTTGGCTGCTTTCGTGAGGTTCCTCTCCGGCTCCAGATCGTTCCTGGCTCCCCACTGACTCCACGTAAAATCCAGACTCCTCAGCCTGGTCTTCCACAGTCTGACGTCAGCCTACCTTCTCATCCTCCCCGGGCCTGGAGGCATGCCAGCCAATTCAGGCCACTTGCCATTTTTCTTTCTTTCTTTTCTTTTTTGTTTTTTTGAGACGGAATCTCACTCGGTCGCCCCGGCTGGAGTACAATGGTGTGATATTGGCTCACTGCAACCTCCGCCTCCCAGGTTCAAATGATTCCCCTGCCTCAGCCTCCTGAGTAGCTGGGATTACAGGCCCATGCCACCATACCCAGAGAATTTTTGTATTTTTTAGTAAAGATGGGGTTTCACCATGCTGTCCAGGCCGGTCTTGAGCTCCTGACCTCATGATCCGCCTGCCTCAGCCTCCCAAAGTGCTGGGATTACAGGTGTGAGCCACCTCTCGCAGCCCCATTTTTCTTTTTCTTCCCTGCATTGCTGTCAGTGAAACCTTCTCTTTCCCTCAAGGAGCACCTCGAATGCTGACTCCTTCACATCACTTTCCTGAGTGTCTCGGCTCAAAGAGGGTTCCCTGCGTCTGAACTCCGTGTGTTCCAGTCTTGAGGTCCTTACCATGCACTGCTGGGGCATGCCATGCGGCCTTCCTTCCTCCGGCTCAGAAGCAGGGCCTCCACTTAGTCGCTTTGGTCTCCCCAGCACCCAGAGCAGATATTTGCACAGAAGAGGAGCTCGATAAATGTTTGTTTAATGAATAAATATACAATTCTAACCCAATGCCCTGTTTTCTTACAGTGACATTCAAGTCATCCTAGGCCAAAAAAAAAAAAAAAAAAGATCCTATTTACTTTCCAAAATTGCCTCTCATATTGTTCAAAATTAAAATAAACACTCTGTAGATTAAGACCTGGGCTGTCATATTGTATCTGACACCATTAAGAACCGAGGTTAGGGTGCCTCACAGTTGACTTCCACTGATCTAAGATGTCAACAACAATATCGCCTGCCTGATGGGGTGACATCTGAGCTCCAAGGCATGCACTCCTGTCCTTTGGGTGCTTACCCCTGGCTTCATACACCCTGTGCCTTGGATCCGTGTCTGCCTCTCTGATTCAAGCCTTCCCCTGGATGACTGGGTCTCTGATCTTGGATTACATTCCTGTTTTGCTTACATTTTCTAGCTCTTATCTGCTAGGGTGCTTTGGGTGTAAGCAACAGAAAGTCCTGTGGCTAATGTATGCATAAAGGAGTTTATTGGGAGCAGAATGGAGGACAGTGAACCGACTCACAGCAATTAGAATTGGGATCACAAATAGGGTGGGGTGTGGGTGTCAGAAACAGGAGCACAGGAGCTATTGATGAAAGAACTGGTTCTTTTTTTTTTTTTGAGACAGAGTCTTGCTCTGTTGCTCAGGCTGGAGTGCAGTGGCATGATCTCAGCTCACTGCAACCTCTGCCTCTCAGGTTCAAGCAATTCTCATGCCGCAGCCTCCCGAGTAGCTGGGATTACAGGTGCATGCCAGCACACTTGGCTAATTTTTGTACTTTTAGTAGAGTTGGAGGGGTTTTTGCTATGTTGGCCTGGCCAGTCTGAAACTCGGCCTCAAGTGATCCTCTCGCCTCGGCCTCCCAAAGTGCTGGGATTACAGGTGTCAGGCACTGTAAGCCTAAAAGAACAAGTTCTTTTCTTTCTTTCTTTCTTTCTTTCTTTCTTTCTTTCTTTCTTTCTTTCTTTCTTTCTTTCTTTCTTTCTTCTTTCTTTCTTTCTTTCTTTCTTTCTTTCTTTCTTTCTTTCTTTCTTTCTTTCTTTCTTTTTTTCTTTCTTTCTTTTTTTTTTTTTGAGATGGAGTCTTGCTCTGTCACCCAGGCTGGAGTGCAGTGGCACAGTCTCCCCACAACCTCCCCCGCAACACCGGGTTCAAGCGATTTTTCTGCCTCAGCCTCCCAAGTAGCTGGGATTACAAGTGCACGCCACCACGCATAGCTAATTTTTTTTTTTAGTAGAGATGGAGTTTCACCATGTTGGCCAGCTGGTCTCCAACTCCTGACCTCAGGTGATCTGCTTGCCTCAGCCTTCCAAAGTGCTGGGATTACAGGTGTGAGCCACCGCGCTGGCCTAAAGAACAGGTTCTTGAGGGGTTGCCATTGCTGCTGCCACTGCCAGGGCTAATGAGTGTCAACCATTTTGCCTTTTCACCACTCTGCTTCAGATTCAAACTCCAGGGAGAATCCCAGCGGGCCTAGCACGTGCTTCTGTTTCACCATCTGCTGCTCTGTTACTCTTTCCTGGTTTTTACCCATCCCTCACAGTCCCATCCATCACCCAGGCATGCATAGAGCACCCTGCAAGAGGCTCCCAGGGTTGCCTCCACCAGGGTGCTGGACTCCTGCCTAGCCCAGCTAACACAGCCTTCCAGGAGGTGATACAAGCAGCAGCGGAACGCTTAGCCACCCAGGGAACTGTCCTCTGCTTACCCACCATTGTAGAAAGTAAGCAGTTGCCTTGCTTAGCCCAGATTACAGGTCTTTAGTGAGCAATACATAAAGCAAATTTGGTTTGGGATTTCATGAGTGACTTTAAATCGCAAACCTTATGTTTTCTTTCCTGTGGCATGAAAGGCATAGGTCAATTCCGAAAGTTCGGTGACTGGTTCTTATACTAGAAATGCAGACTTGAGGACAATTTACCAATTAGCTAATTACTCGTCCTTCCTGGGCATTTAGCAAAGGGATCTTCAGGCGCAAGAGACGTATTCACATTGTTGATCTCAGTTGTTACAATACCAACATCAGCTTCCTGGGAAACGGGTCGGAGCAGAAGTCGTAAACACAGTGTTCTTCATTTCTACCCGTTGGACTTGTGGGTTGGCTTAATGCTAGCTTTCTCCCTAATAAAAGGCAAGGGAAATATCAGCTAGAAATTTCATAATTGGGGTGTTTGCCTCATTTCCTATTTTTAAGTGGCACAGACTTCGGAACTAAGGCTGTGTATGAGTCTGGCAAACGCTGCTGGTGGATGTGGGCTGAAGCTCCTGTCTGCAAAGGTACTGTTAAGAGGACAAAGAGCGGGCATAAATAATAGATTAAGAGTGGCTCCGATCAGGGTCTATTCGTCCAGCAGCCTCAAAATGAAAGCACGCAGCCGATGACTCACTGGATAATAGTAAATATGATGGGCTCGTGAAACCACCGGTTCCCACGGGGGCTGTTCGGCAGCCTTTGTCTGGTCTTGAGCTTGTTATGTGCGGAAGCTACCAATTTAAGCTGCCCTTCCCCCAGCAAAGACGTGGCTCCAGGGCAGAGAGGTATTTGGGTGATTCGCAAAGTGTGGGTGTCACAAGGAGAGGCGGATTGTTCCCCAAGGGAGGTTCCTCTGCTCCTCTGCGTGTGTCCTGGCCTGCTGCCTCCGGGCAGGTCCCCATCTGGGGATATCTGGATGCTATATGGGCTTCATTAAGGGGAAGGCAGAGACCTCGGCCCCGGGGAGCCAGAAATGGAAAGGAGACGTGGTCTTATCATAAAGTAAGGGTTCCAACTCCAACCTGGGAGACGAATAAAGAACATAAACATGCCTTCCCTCACCACGCTAGGCATTTCAAGCCAGAGTAGGGCTGATAATAACAACAGAAAGAACCTCCATTCTGGAGAGATACTGTTGCAGTGAAAGGGTTTGTCTTCAAATAAGGGGAGGCCATGTGGGCAGACACGTTGAACTGGTTCTCAGGGGTCCCTCAGGGCCGTGCTAGGACCCACGAGGAGAAGGATAAGCAGAATGAGTTGGGAGAATGTTTTCAACTTTATTGTTGTCTGAAAATGTCCCACAGTTTCTTGCTACTGCAGGAATATATTTGTTCATTCACGGCTTTTTTTTTTCCAGCCAGCCAACATCCCTTGATGCCCCAGGCATAGATTCAACGTCAATTTGTGATAAAAAAAAATAGAGGGAATGGGTGCTGCCTTCTCCTTGCAACTGGGGTGGATGCTCTAAGAGGTAGGTTCTTAACTCAAACACCTCAAGAGCAGGAATAACTGACAAAGAGGAAATGAGCCTCAGCTCTGCTCTGAGACTGCACAGGCAAAGGGATGGAGGTGGGAAGGGTAGAATCCATTGAGTTTATGATGTATGGCAGGTATGGGGCTGGACATTTTTTATAAGAACTCTGGACTGGGAGTTAGGGATTCAGTGACTGTGTTACCTTGGGTGAGTCACTTACCCTCTCTGGTCTTCAGTTTCCTTAGCAGTCAAAGTGTTACTGGTGGAGAGTGTCCAAGTTCTTGGAGTCTTGACCAAAGAACTGGACCAAACGTATGAACAAGCAAGGAAAGAATGAAGTCACAAAAGCAGAGATTTGTTGAAAATGAAAGTACACTCCACAGTGTGGGAGTGGACCTGAGCATAGAGGCTCAAGGGCCCCATTACAGAATTTCTGGGGGTTTAAATACGCTCTAGAGCTTTCCACTGGTTACTTGGCATGTGTCCCACGTAAATGGAGAGCATGAAGTGAAGTAACAAAGTCATTTACTTGGTGTACACCCTATGTACATGGAGTGGATGTTTCCTGTCGTAGCTGGAGTGGGAATCAGCCTCCAGACCCTATTTTCCTGCCTCAAAATGACAATAACACCTACCCTTACTCTCTTCAAAGGGCTGTGAAGAAATGATGAATCAATGAATTCATGAAGTAACCAATTCATGTCTCCATCCAACAAACACTTTTCCATGGCACCTTGGTGGCAGGCATTGCGCTCAGTGCTGACGAAAGAAAAGGCAACTGGGACCAGGCTTGCCTTCGAGTGGCCCGCAGCTTCACGTTGGAGGAATATACCAAGAGGACGGTGTGGCAGGTGACATCCATTAAAGTGGAAGGAGCGGGGGACTCGGAAGACTTAAGGCAGGGCATGCTTCTGATGGAAGGTGGGAGAGGGTAGGAGACACACTGCAGCTTTCTGTATCTGGGAGAAGTTGAAGAGAAGAGTAGCTTCTAATATTATTGCCGTGAGGACAGACTACAGAATGCAGAAAACCCCTGTAAATAGGAAAGATATGTCTTGAATCTGCGCAAAGCCCCAGAGTCACGAATATCACCACAGCGCTGACGGGGCTTTTTTCCTGGGTCATTTTCCAAAAGGAAGCCAACTCTGGATCCCTTTCCAACTGTCATTGCAACTGATGAGAAGAGAACAAGGAATGGGAACTGAGAGGCACCCGACTCAGGCTCTTGCTCATGCCCGCTTAATGGTCTCTTCCCCCACAGCAGCTTTTCAGAGCCTGGGATTTAAATGTGCCACTTGGCAGAACTGTAACCGATTACAAACCTTGGGATCTGTGGGTTGCTAGCATAACAGTCCAAATCAAAAATAGCAAATCTGCACATAACAAAGGTCAATTATCTTCTAAGCATGCATCTGCTTATGCGACACACAATATTTATGCTGTAAGTTCCTAGGGGCCCGGGTGGAGATGTTTTATGTTTCCCCATCTGGCTTCTGCCCAGCGAACCTTACGCGCTGTGGGTACTTCGGAAATACAGATGGTGTGACGGAACGATGGTTTTTCCTTTGCAGACAGTCACCTAACTGGATAATTTGGTGGCCAGTGACACTGTGGACTCTGGAGGTCAGCAAACCTGGGTTAAATCCAAGTTCTGCACCTGCCTAGCTGTGTGAACTTGGGCAAGAAATGTAATTTCTTTATGTCTCAGTTTGTTCATCTGCAAAATGAGTGTTAACAACACTCACCTCGTAGGTGAGGAGTGAACGAGATGGTGAGTGCACCCTGAGCCAATAGTGAGAGCTCAATAAACAGTTCCCGGCGGCAGCGTCTTGTTGCCTCCATCTTCATCTTCATCGTCATCATTCTTGACCCCTGAGGGCCAGGAGTAGAGGGGAGGATGGCCGAGGTCCCCACAGGGTCTTCTGCATGGCTCCTCAGCTCCTGGGCTCTTGCCCCAACACAGACACTGGCCCTAGATCCAGTTTTTCTCTTAGTTCAGTGCCTCCCAAACTTGAGTGTGGAGCGGAATCAACGGAAGCACTTGTTAAAACACAGGCACCACAATGGAGGGGGAGGTGGGGAGGGATAGCCTGGGGAGAAATGCCAAATGTGGGTGAAGGGGAGAAGAAAAGCAAAGCACACTGCCATGTGTGTACCTACGCAACTGTCTTGCATGCTCTGCTCATGTACCCCAAAACCTATAATCCAATAAAAAATTAAAAAAAAAAAAAACAAAAACACAGGCACCGCCCCACTTGCAGGGTTTCTGGTTCAGTAGGTTTGGGCGGCTCTGGTCTGATCATTTGCATTTCAAAGGAGTCCTCAGGTCCTGCTGCTGCTGCTCGTCTAAGAATTACAGTTTAAGCATTGGCAACAAAAGCCAAAATAGACAAATGGGACCTAATGAAACTCCACAGCTTCTGCACGGCAAAAGAAACAGTCACTAGAGTGGATCGGCAACCAACAGAATGGGAAAAAATTTTTGCAGTTTACCCATCTGACAAAGGGCTGATATCCAGAATTTACAAAGAACTCAAACGGATTTACAGGAAAAAAACAAACAAGCCCATTCAAAAGTGGGCAAAGGATATGAACAGATACTTTACGAAAGAAGACATATATGAGGCCAACAATCATATGAAAAATGCTCATCGTCACTGGTCATCAGAGAGATGCAAATCAAAACCACATTGAGATACCATCTCATGCCAGTTAGAATGGCGATCATTAAAAAATCTGGAGACAACAGATGCTGGAGAGGATGTGGAGAAAAAGGAACACTTTTACACTGTTGGTGGGAGTGTAAATTAGTTCAACCATTGTGGAAGACAGTGTGGCGATTCCTCAAGGCCTTAGAAATAGAAATTCCATTTGACCCAGCAATCCCATTACTGGGTATATATCCAAAAGACTATAAATCGTTCTACTATAAGGACACATGTACACGAATGTTCATTGCAGCACTGTTTACAATAGCAAAGACCTGGAATCAACCAAAATGCCCATTGATGATAGACTGGATTGGAAAAATGTGGCACATATACACCATGGAATATTATGCCGCAATCAGAAATGATGAGTTTGTGTCGTTTGTAGGGACATGGATGAATCTGGAGAACGTCATCCTCAGCAAACTGACACAAGAACAGAAAATGAAACACTGCATATTCTCACTCATAGGTGGGTGATGAAAAATGAGAACACATGGACACAGAAAGGGGAGTACTAAACACTGGGGTCTATTTGGGGGAAAAGGGGAGGGCCAGTGGGAGGGGAGGTGGGGAGGGATAGCCTGGGGAGAAATGCCAAATGTGGGTGAAGGGGAGAAGGAAAGAAAAGCACACTGCCATGTGTGTTCCTACGCAACTGTCTTACATGCTCTGCTCATGTACCCCAAAACCTAAAATCCAATAAAAAATTAAAAAAAAAAAAAAAGAATCACTGTCCTAGTTTAATCCAGGAACTTTCCCCAAGCGTATCCAATCATCAGGACCTCTGAATGCCATTTGCCCAGTAGCTGAACTGGCTCCCCAAAGCCGGCTGTTCTTACCGATAGGGGAAAGCCTATTACCCCATGCATATGGTCACTTCTGAAAATTTTCCTCTTTTCTACCTAAGATTATTCACCCAAATTCTTGAGTTCCCCAAACACTAAGTGACATGGCTTGGCTGTGTCCCACCCCAATCTCATCCTGAATCACAATCACCATATCAAGGGAGGGACCTGGTAGGAGGTGATGGCATCATGGGGGTGACCACCTCCATGCTGTTCTCCTGAGAGTGAGTGAGTTCTCATGAGATCTCATGGTTTTATAAACGGCAGCTCTCCTGGGCTATTCTCTCTCTCTTTCCTGCCACCTTGTGAAGAAGGTACTTGGGGCTTCTTCACCTTCCGCCATGATTTTAAGTTTCCTGAGGAGTCAATTACACCTCTTTCCTTTATAAATTACTCAGTCTCAGGTAGTATCTTTACAGCCGTGTGAAAACAGACTAATACACTAATAAGAGGTAGTTCAGGCTTCCTGGGTGATAAGGCCCATGAGGGCAGGGACTGGTGTGCCTCTTTCTCCACTGCCTCTCCAGGACTCAAGGTAGTTTTATCAAGTGGAATAAATTGTGGAGGCAGGTGCCTCAGTGAGAAGGGTTTGCTCATGATTGATGCTCATGTCTCTGATGCCAGAGGAGCCTAAGGCACTTTGTGGTGGAGTTGGTACACTTCCCTTTACTTGGTAACTCAGTGGATGGTCCAGCCCTGGAAGCTCTTCTAATATTTAATGCACTGGAAATTTCATAAGCAACTTTTTATATTTGCAGCCTGTGCGTGGTGCTGAGGGTCCCATGTGAGTCCTACCCTGAATATTACCCCATCATCACCTCCTTCAGGAAGTCTTCCCTAAACGCTCCTCCCCCGTTGGGCATGGTGCTGTTTCTCAGTGCTTCATCGAGGGCCAATGTGTCCTCCTTCACCATCCCACTTAGCCCATCGTGTTACATGTTATTGTTTACTTCACAGTCTCTCTTCTGAGAGTTTTTGAGGAAAGGAACTGTGTTTAATTGGCATTCAGTGATTGTTTGTTGAATGACTGACTGAATGAATGAATATGGAATCTTCTAAAGTTACATGCCCAATAAGCACGTTTACAGCAAATGCTGCTGGACGATCACAAGCATCTCCTTCTCCTTTCCCTGTCTACAGCTCCTTCAGCCCCTCCTGCGATCTGCACAGGTGGCTCCTGTGTGTAAGAGCTGTGAGCTCAGGGAGTGAAGGAGCCTTAAGAGGGCAGTGCTCTCATGACTCTAAAACCTGCCCCCACTCCACAAGCAAAGCTTTGCTTCACTCACTCCCACCAGGCTCCAGCCTCTAGGTCCAGCACCCTACTGGCTGGTAGGGTGGGGCGAGGTCTTGAAGGAGCCTTCCGTGGTAACTGGGGGCTGCCCTGACCTTGTGCCTGTGACAGGGAGTGATGAAAAGCAGTGGTCTGAAATAGACCCTCTGCTCCTCAGACTGAGGGCTGCTTACTCACCCCTCTGAGTCCCGGCTTCTGCTCTATAAGGTGGAAATAATAAAAGTACCAGCTCATAACATTGCTGTGAGGATTAACTGAGATATTTGTAAAGTGCTTGGAATACTGTCTGTCATATAAGTGTTCAATAAGTAATGTTAGCTATTCTGTTGATGACAACGATGAAACACAGGACGCTGTGTTACTCCCTTGTGTCCTGTCAATCTGCTTGGTACCTGAGCTCCTCTGAGACCAGGGCTTGCCTGGCTCCTGAGACCTCCCCTTTAGGGATCAAATCCTGCCTGGGGCCCACACCTGCTGTTTCACCTCCGCTATGCTGTCTTCTGGGATCTTAGCATCCTACCTGCTCCTGGCACCCCTGCCTGCTGGGACACTGCCTGACACCTACCTCCCTGAATTGACTGTGTGTGTATGTGTGACAAGCCCCTACCACCTGCTGCCACTCCGACCTGGGGTTCCACCTGCCTGGTTCACTGTCCCTTGTTACCAACATCTGATTTCATCCCAAGCACCTGATACTCCTGACTGACCTTGCCTCCACATCCCTACCCCCACCAAAAACCTACCCAGTGTGGGTATGCTGCTTCCTTTCACTTCCTCAGACTTTAATTTGTCTTGGGACGTGCTTCCAGGAGACCCTCCACACCCAGACTCATCCTGACCTTCTCCTGGAAGATGCCACGTGGAGTTTCTGACCTCCAGCGATGCTGGAGGGCCAATTGCTTGTTTCTTGTTTATTGCATGTACATTGCTATACAACAGTGAATGCTGGAGGACAGATGTAAATCCAGCGCTTACTGGGTCTGTCTAGGGTCCCTTTCCACCAAATCAAGGGACGAAGGGAGTCTGCCGAAAGTTTGATCTTAATCGATGGTTTTGCAAGGCTCATCTCCTACCCCACAGTGCTGATTCAAAGACCATGTGCCCTGAGTTCTGGGAGCAGAGAAATAAATTGTTGCTATTATGGATGAAGCAACTATCAAAAATCTATTTTTAATCTCTTCTTCCTCTTAAAATAATCGAGGCTCTCTTTTCGTAAGAGGAAGAATGCAGGCTTTGATATGAGGAAAGGTGCAAAAAGCTCCCCTTCTTTTAGTTGAAAATGCTAATTGAGCAGCCACTTATTTTTTTAACCTTCATTAACTGCATTAGCCTGCATTAACACCTTTTAAAACCTCCTTTAAATCGTGTTCAATTCACTGTCTTTAATCTCTGCTTTTCCAAGAGTGTGGAATCATTTTGATCCTCATCTTCATCTTTTCTTTGATGACAACTTTTGGTTTAATTTGTATCTGGGAATTGAAATGCAAATTTGCAATTACCCGTCATCCCCTTCTCCTCATGCTCTGCTGGAGTGCGGGGAGGCACATCAGAGCAGGTGCTGTGTGTCCCTGGCCAGAACACCCTGCCAGGCCTTCCCAGGCCCCGTGGATGGTTGGGGGAACAGTTCACGCTATTCCTGCAGGTTCTAGGCATGAGAAATAAGTTGTATAAAGTGTTCAGTGCTCTGCCTATTACATCATAAGCTTTCACCCAGGGGTAGCAACTGTTTGCTCTTCAAAAATGTTGAAGGATATTCTTTCTTGTCTCCTGAACATTGCATTTCGTTGTCCTTTGCCAGACTCTCTTAATAGTGCAGGAGTGTTGTGGACATTTTCAAGAGAAGAAAGATATAAAACTATATTGGTTTCTCATTAAGTTAAACATAGAGTTACCATATGACCCAGGAATCCACTCATGTGTATACTGAAAAGAATTGAAAGCAGGTGTTCAAAGATACCCTGTACATGATGTACACAGCAGTGCTGTTCCCAGCAGCTGAAAGCTGGAAACAGCCCAGATGTCCATCAACTGATGAATGGATAAACAAGTGTGGAATCTTCATGCAGTAGAATATTATTCAGCCTTCAAAAGGAATGAAGTACTGGTACACACCGTAACACAAACAGACCTCGAACATTATTCTAAGTGAAAGAAGCCAGGCACAGAAGTCCACATGTCATATGATTCCATTTGTACAAAATGCCCAGAGTGAGCAAATCCATAGAGACAGGAAGCAGATTAATTGTGTTCTACCTCCAGCTGGTGAGAAGACTTCACTCTGCCCTGGCTATCATCTGACAACCTTGTGTTTTGCTTTTTAATCTACTAAGGAAGAGAGTCTGAGTGGCCCAGATTGGTGTGTGTGTCTGTGTGTGTGTGTGTGTGTGTGTGTGTGTGTGCGCGTGTGTGATCCTTACCCAGGGCAGGGTCTTGGGACATCTTCATGATTCTTGGCCCCAGCCCAGTATCCATTAGGGGCTGTTCCCAGAGAATGGGAGTCCAGGGGTAGTCCCTCCACCGGTGCCCATGACACTGTCCCTCAGTGGCTGATGCTGGGCAGGGATGAAATGAGCCAGGACATGCAGAGGAGTGAAGGAACAGCCCTGGGGATAAGCCTGACCACCCTGTGGTCAGCGTCACCTTCTCTTCCTATCCTCGAACTGGAAGCTGCAGCTTCAAGCATCTTGAGAATATAGCACCTTGGTCCGCCTGATTCTCCTTTCGCTTTGCACCTCTACCTAAGACCGACAAAACTTCTCACACTCAATTTGAATCCCGTCTCATCCTTGAAGCCTTCCTTGGTTAGCCCAAGAAGGGCTAAGTTTTATCTCCCTCCTCTGTGTTTCTCTTTCCCCGTAACTTGCACATGGCTCTGAGCACAGATTCCCAACTGATGCCTCTAGAATGCAACTTCTCACAGTGTGTGTGTGTGTGTATGTGTGTTCTCACTCATACAACTGCTCTGTATGGGCCACTCTTGTCACCTTTCTAACACCAGCACAGTGCTTAGTGGTGTAGAAGGGTGATTGGGAGTCCACGGTGGCAACTCCCTACAGGACACAGGTGAGACCTGGTTGGAAAGTGATAGAAAAGGATCTGGTGGTTCAATGAGTCCCCATCGGCCTTGGCCAGGGCCACAGAAAGAGGGTTGACCTGCAGAGCTGTGGGCTCAGGCCACTGGGGTCTATGCACATGAACAAGGACCTCATGGGAAGATCTCATTCTAAAGGGAGAAAGGCAAGGGGTGGGGGGGGGGGCGCACAAACACAAGCCTCCGCTGGGCACAAGGGTAATATTAAGTGTACTACACGCTGTGCACTGCTCAGACTCAAAAGGAAAAGCCACACCTGGACTCCACTGAATGTAGGGACTCCACTGGAGAGATAAGACTTCCA